TCCTACTCCTGTGATAGTGGATTCACACTCGACCGTGGAACCGTCAATAGAGTCAGGCTTGCAACTTCCCCGTGTATCTGGCGAGGCTTATGCCCCTGCGGCTCGCTCTCAACACCTCACACATACGTACGTCCGTGTCGTTCAAATATTCAACAGAAGGCTCGCGCTCCCCGTTGATCAGCGAGGCACGACCCTTGCTAACATACAGCGCTCCCACTCGTCCCGTGAGCTTTCTGAATACGACCCCGGCATACAGCGGTGCCCTCTGTGTCTTTTTGCGAACACATGGCGGTCCATTCCGGACATTTCGGATTGATTGCAGAACCAGAACGTAATAAAAGAACGGCTACACGCTTCAGTTTCGGCGCAGACCACCCTGGTTCAATGGCGTGGTCATGTCAACAGTTCCGGTACACAACGTGCCGGTGCTGAGGCGAGGAATTCTCAATCTCCTCGCGAAACGCGTGATAGAAGTGGTCCCGCCGAGCGAGAGAGAGAGAGCGGGTTTTACAGCCGGTAATTTGTCGTTCCAAAGAATGATGGTGGTCTCCGTCCAATCTTAGACCTGAGACCCATCAACCGTGCATTATACAAACGTGCTTTCAACATGACAACGTTAAAGCTGATACTCTCGCAGATTCGACCCGAAGATTGGTTTGCTTCGGTGGACCTGAAAGATGCATATTTTCATATCCAGATTGCCCCTCATCACAGGCGCTTTCTGAGATTTGCGTTCGAAGGCATAGCGTATCAGTTCACGGTGATGCCGTTCAGGCTAGCACTGGCGCCACCTACATTTATGAAATGTGTGGATGCAGCACTTTCCCCTCTGAGAGCGAGAGGAATACGCATATTGAATTATTTGGACGATTGGCTGGTCTTGGCCCACTCGGAGGATGTGCTCAACAGCCACAAACACGCTCTGTTACTTCACCTGGAGAGGTTAGGTCTCTGTGTGAACAAACAGAAAAGCGTGTTACGCCCCAGCCAGTATCTGGGGGCGCAGTTGGACTCAATCTCGATGAGAGCGCGTCTGAGCCGGGAATGCATACTAGATTTAATGTCCGCTCTGAATGCATTCAGGCTGGGCCGTCCCGTAGCACTGAAGGAATATCAGAGGCCCTTGGGGCGGATGGCGGCGGCCGCGACGGTCTGTCACCTCGGTCTACTCTTTATGCGCTCCCTCCAGATACGGCTGAAGACACAAGTACCGAGAAGGGCGTGGAAAACGGGCCGTGCCCGCGTCGTGGTCACTCACTGATGCTTGAACGCGCTGAAACCATGGCGAAACCCCGACTTGTACCAACACGGTGCCCAGATGGGTCTGGTCACGCGGCGGAAAGTGGTCACGACAGACACGTCGACGACGGGCTGGGGAGCTCACTGCAATGACGTACCGGCCTCGGGCTACTGGTCAGAGTCAGAGAGAACGTGGCACATAAATTGCCTCGAGCTTAGAGCCTTTTTGGCTCTTAGTAGTTTCCTCGCGCAAGTCCGGGGGCATCACGTGTTGATTCGCACGGGCAACATGTCGGTGGTATCGTACATAAACCGCCGGGGCGGAGTTCACTCGAGAGCCCTTTACAGACAGGCAGCACGCCTTTTGCTGTGGGCCGATCACCATCTGCTCTCCATTCAAGCAGCGCATGTTCCAGGCTGCCTGAACAGCGGCATGGATATGCTATCGAGGGATGGGATTCCTCACGGAGAATGGACAATGAACCCTGGGACAGTGAGGCTGATCTGGGAACGGTTCGGGAAAGCGGAGGTAGACTTGTTCGTGACAGAGGAGAACACACATTGCTCTCTGTTCTTCTCGCTGTCACACTCTCCTCACGATGCCGTAGCCGAATGCCCGTCTGTATGCGTTCCCCCCGCTGAAGATTTTGTCGCAAGTGCTACACAAAATCAGAGAGGAGAAGGTGTCAGTGTTATTAGTTACTCCGTACTGGCCGAACAGGCCCTGGTTTCCCGATCTGCTGGAAATATTAACGGCTCCCCCGTGGCCGATCCCGCTGAGACGGGATCTCCTGTTTCAGGCGGACGGCTCGGTATGGCACCCCAACCCAGAATGGTGGAAACTTCAGGTGTGGATGGTGTGCGGGAACCGGTAAACCCGGGCTCATTGTCTCGCCATTACATTTATAATTATAGAGTGGGGATCCAATTCACCGCGGGTTCCTTCGAGATTTTCCCGTGGGGTTTTATAATGAGGGTTTTCAATTTATGAAAAAAAAAATAACTGTGGTAAACAACTTTACAATACTTTTACGTTTTGTTGTACAATGTAAAATGCACACACTCACAGCCCAAACGTTCTTATCTAGCTACTTATTAAAAACATACGTTTTCAAAAATGCGGTTCCGGTTGACCTAATTAATGCAGCCTAACAATCCTTTAATGAATTTGAATTATAGAAATGTGATAGTGTTATGTATATGCCAGATTAAAGAGATGGGTCTTTAATCTAGATTTAAACTGACAAAGTGTGTCTGCCTCCCGAACAACGCTAGGTAGATTGTTCCAGAGTTTTGGGGCTAAATAGGAAAAGGATCTGCCACCCGGAGTTGATTTTGATATTCTAGATATTATCAAATGGCCAGAGATTTGAGATCGCAGCGGACGTGAAGGACTATAATGTGCAGTGGTCGACAATTAATTGATTCAAATGAACCGTTTAGTGCGAGTCTCCAGTGAACTGAATTCACAAGTAAGAACTGGGAGATCTTGTGAGCAGGCGTGCGTCTGATGCTGTTAAAAGTAAGTTACTAATGTTGAATTTTAGGATTAATTAATGTAACTGAAAATCATATTTAGGTCAAAGCTGTCAGTTGTTTGTGAACTAAATCTGCTGTAAAGGGTGATCTGTTTAAAGGGGTCCTATTATGCTTTTTCACTTTTTTAATTTTAGTCAGTGTGTAGTGTGTATGTTTGGGCATTAAAAAGATCTAGAAAGTTACAAATCTTAAAGTCCACTCCAAAGGGAGATATTTCGTTTTTAAAAAATCCCTTTTCAAGAACTACAACGAACGGCTCGTTTGGACTACAGCATTTGTTTTCCGGGCTTTGTGATATCACAAAGCGGCTCATTGGAATATCATTACAAATAATTCCTGCCTACAGAAATTCGAATGGTTGGGGGAAAAAATCAAGTACTTTTGTACTTTCACTCGAGTAAAATTGAAAACCGAGTACTTTTACTGGAGTAATATTTCATTATACGGATCTGTGCTTTTACTCAAGTAATTGATTTGTGTACTTCGTCCACCACTGATAATGCGATATGAGCTCACTGAAGTACCGAGGAGCTAAACCATTCAGGGCTTTATAAGTAATTAGCAAGATTTTAAAATGTTTTCATTGTTCAATAGGGAGTCGAGCGAACTGACCGAAGCAGAGTTGACCGAACCGTGCTAATATGGTTGTACTTCCTGGTTCTAGTAAGAACTCTTAGCTGCTGCATTTTGGACCAGCTGAAGTTTGTTTATTAAGCGCGCAGAGCAACCACCCAATAAAGCATTACAATAATCTAACCTTGAGGTCATGAATGCATTAATTAACGTTTTTGTTAATTTGACATTGAGAGCATACTGTAGGTCGTAGTTTAGATATATTTTAAGATGGAAAAATGCAGTTTTACAAATGCTAGAAACATGGTTTTCAAAGGAAAGATTACTATCAAATAGCACACCTAGGTTCCTAACTGATGACAAGGAATTAACAGAGCAGCCATCAAGTGTTAGACAGAGGTTTTAATTATTGGACCAAAAACCTCCGCCTTTAATAACCTAAAACACTGTTTTTTTTTTTCAGAATTTAGCAGTAGGAAATTACTAGTCATCCAGTTTTTATATCAACTATGCATTCCGTTAGTTTTGCAAATTTGTATGTTTCATCGGGCCACGAAGAAATTTAGAGCTGAGTATCATCAGCATAACAGTGAAAGCTAACACCATGTTTCCTGATGATATCTCCTAAGGGTAACATGTAAAGCGTGAAAAGCAGCGGTCCTAGTACTGAGCCTTGTGGTACTCCGTACTGTACTTGTGATCGATATGATATCTCATCATTCACTGCTACGAATTGATAATGGTCAGATAAGTAAGATTTGAACCATGACAATGCGATTCCACTAATGCCAACATAATTTTGTAATCTACTCAAAAGGACGTTGTGGTCGATAGTGTCAAACGCAGCGCTAAGATCCAGTAGCACTAATAGAGAAATACAATCACGATCGGATGATAAGAGCAGGTCATTTGTAACTCTGATGAGAGCAGTCTCAGTACTATATATCAGTACTACAAGTTTTCAAAATGTGTATTTTGGGTATGGATGTGTGTAATTTACTTTGTACATTCCTTCCTTCCTCTTCCTCCAGTCTTCCATGAACTTAATGTTTATTTAAATGCAGCTAAAATCAATTGATTGCAACCACATACCTTAAAAAATGTAGAAAATTAAACAATTTTTTTCAGTTGAGGTACAGGAACCGAGAGAGCAAAAACTGCATGCATGAATGGATATTTTTATATGTGCGAGTCTAAAACATACTCCTATGTGAAATGTCAATATAATGCACGAGTTAAAGGGGTCCTATTATGCTCTTTTACAAAGTCTTGATTTTGTTTTGGGGGTGTACTAGAACAGGCTCTCATACTAGGTTGTTCGAAAAACACATTATTTTTCACATATTTTACATTATTACAACACCTCCCTCCCCAGTCAAACAATGTATTTCTACATGATTTGGAGATTCAATGTGAAATTATGACATACACAATCGTTATGTTATTTCTACATTATTTGGAGATTCAATGTGAAATTATAACAATATTAATATATTATATAAATATGCAATTAATTACTGTAAATGTGCAGTTAATTTTTTGTAATCGATTAATTGGTTAATTTTTTGTAATCGATTAACAGCACTACTCTCAAATGGATGTCTGTTGCTTTGTGCCATTAAACTTGTTTTTGTCTCTTTTCCTCTCAGGCCTGATGGAGCTGAAAGAGGAGAGTCAAGAACTGAATGAAACAGAAGAGAAAGATCAAAATGAGAAACAGAATGATTTCAAACCTGGAGAAAAATCAATTGGTTGCTCACAGAATGAAAAGAATTCAACACCAAAAAAATCTCAAAAAACGCAAAGTACAACCCTCAATTCCCAGATGAGAATTCACACTGGAGAGAGACCTTTCACTTGCCAACAGTGTGGAGAAATTTTCAATACAAAAGAAAGCCTTGAAGTCCACATGAAAATTCACATTGAAAAGAAACCGTTCATATGCTCTCAGTGTGGAAAGATTTTTACACGGGAAGGTCACCTTAATATCCACATGAGAACTCATACTGGAGAGAGACCGTACAAATGCAAACTGTGTGGGAAGGGTTTCATACAAAGTGGAGGTCTTAAGAGTCACATGAGAGTTCATACTGGAGAGAAACCTTTCACCTGTCAACAGTGTGGAGAAATTTTTGATCGAAACGAAAGCCTTAAAGTCCACATGAAAATTCACATTGAAAAGAAACAGTTCATATGCTCTCAGTGTGGAAGGAGTTTTACACGGGAAAGTCACCTTAATATCCACATGAGAACTCATACTGGAGAGAGACCGTACAAATGCAAACTGTGTGGGAAGGGTTTCATACAAAGTGGAGGTCTTAAGAGTCACATGAGAGTTCATACTGGAGAGAAACCTTTCACCTGTCAACAGTGTGGAGAAATTTTTGATCGAAACGAAAGCCTTAAAGTCCACATGAAAATTCACATTGAAAAGAAACAGTTCATATGCTCTCAGTGTGGAAGGAGTTTTACACGGGAAAGTCACCTTAATATCCACATGAGAACTCATACTGGAGAGAGACCGTACACCTGCAAACTGTGTGGGAAGAGTTTCATACGAAATGGAGACTTTAAGACTCACATGAGAATTCACACTGGAGAGAGACCATACACATGTATTCAGTGTGGAAAGTATTTTACACAGAAAAAAAACCTTAAAGTCCACATGAGAATTCACACTGGAGAGAAGCCTTACAACTGCAAACTGTGTGAGAAGAGTTTCATACGAAGTGGAGGTCTTAAGTGTCACATGAGATGTCATACTGGAGTGAAACCTTGCACCTGCAAACAGTGTGGAAAGTGTTTCACACGCCAAGAAAACTTTAAGACTCACATGAGAATTCACACTGGAGAGAGACCATTCATATGTGCTCAGTGTGGAAAGAGTTTCATATATAAAGTAAGCCTTAATTATCACATGAGAATTCATTCAAGAGAAAACCGTTTTAAATGTCATCAGTGTGAAAGGAGTTTCACAGACACAAATCACCTTGAGGATCATGTTAAAATTCACATCGGAGAAAAGCCTTTCATGTGCCATCACTGTGGAAAGAGTTTAAAAAACAATGCAAACCTTGAGAGTCACATGAGAGTTCACACAGGAGAGAAATCTTTCACCTGCCCTCAGTGTGGAAAGAGTTTCACAGTAAAAAGGAACCTAAAGGTTCATGAGAATTCACACAGGAGAGATTCACATTTCTAAGCAAACTGAAACATCATTTGCAAACTCATTCTGGTAAGAAATTGCAGTTTTCGTCAGAGTGACAAGGTTTAAAAAAAAAAAAGGAGCTGATTTCTTGGATTACCCCCTTCTCATTTCTTTAGAAAGGAACTGGAACGGTATTACATTAAAAGTAATATCCCAATTTTGAAACTTACAAATCCACTGAGCATCTTTATCTTTGTATGGCATCTGAACTCAATTTGAAGGGACTTGTTTCTAGATTTGTTTAATATTTTAAGGGTTCCTCCTATCCAGCATTTGAAGATGTCCTGGGAGAAAGACCTTAGCATAGATATTTCAAAAGACACTTAGACCGAGGCCCTTCAAGGCATTAGGTCGTGTTCCTTCAGCTCAATAGGGCCCAAGCACCAATGATGCGAGGACCCTCTTGGAATTGTTTCTGTCGTCTTCAAAGGGAATCACATTTTTGAGAGCCTAAACATGCTCCAAAACATTGCACACTGGTGAACTGGTGGAAATGTACATCTGTTGTGTGTTTCAGAATTGAGAGTGGTATAATGGCTCGATAGCACCACCTATCAAATTTAAACAAAGAGCCCCTGCCGCTACGTTTTACATACGTGTGCGAAATTCGGTACATGCTTGTAATGTCCCTACACCTACAAAAAAAACTATCTTAGAGCGAAGTCGTAATCATCTTCAAATTTGGTAATGTAATCATAAATTACAAAGATCTTGAGTTTTCGTCAAATGGCGTGTCCATGGCAGTCTGACAAATTTCGATGTTTCGCCATGAAACAGGAAGTTGCTATAACTCAGGCATACAATGTCCAATCTGCCCCAAACTTCACACTGTTCTGTCCTGAACACATGTCCATGCCCATATTCAGTTATAGTCATAGCACCACCTACTGGCAACAGGAAGTGACATGTTTAACACTGTTATGGACTCCTTGCAACATATTAAAAAATGTCAGCAATTGTAAATAGGCTAGAAACATGCTAAAACATGCTAGAAACACTTAGCTAATTTGCTAACGCATGCTATTAATACAATGAAACAGGAAGTTGCTGTAACTCAGGCATGCAATATACAATCTGCCCCAAACTTCACATGTTTGATAAGAGTCCTGGCCTGAACACATGCTCATATTCGGTTATAGTCATAGCACCACCTACTGGCAAAAGGAAGTGACATGTTTAACGCTGTGATGCACTGTTAGCAGCAAAGTAATATATGCCATTATGAGCTAAACATGCTAGAAACATTCAAGCAACACTTACTGAGTGCTAATCCTATTAATGCCATGAAGCAGGAAGTTGTTGTAACTCAGCCATACAATGTCCAATCTACTCCAAACTTCACACGTTTGATAAGATTCCTGGCCTGAACACAGCTAAAGGCCATTATTCAGTTATAATAATGCCAGTGTTTTTTTAGTTATTTTTATGCATTTTAAGTATGTTTTCTGTATGTATGTGTATATGTAAATTTGTATATGCAATGTGATCTCGTGAGAATTCGTATGTATTTTACGTAAAATGTGGTTCTACAAAACATACTTTTACTTATGTTTGCACAGACACTAAATCGTACAATACTGACGTATTAACAGCATAAACATACAATACTGACATATTGACAACACCTAAAATGTGAAATATTTACATATGATCAAGTTTTCAGACTTCAAATGGAACTTCATTTGAGGTTAAAAATGTTCAGAAAACACACTTTCCTGTCTGAAACAATCCTCTAAGACCAAATCCTGTTTTTTGTTTGTTTTATTTGACAAAATTTAAAACAAAAAAGTCCAAAAAGACTAATTCATACACATTTCAAAACTGCTGAGGATAAAATACACAAAAAAGCCTTCAGCTTATTTCCATTGTTGTCCTCGATATTAAAAAAAAAAAATGGACAAACGAACCATAAATGACTCCATTTAATAGGGCTGGGTAAAAAATATTGATATCTCGATTTTAATCGATTCTGATTTTTATGGAATGATATCGATTCTTAAATCTCAATCTAATCTCAATCGATTAGTCTAGCCTGTTTTCAGTTAATGGACAGAACAACTTTACAAGCCGTATCCCGTCTCATGTAATCGCTTAGTGTTTCAGCCGCGCAAAGACGTCAATATAACGGCTTGTAAACAATGTCACGTAACATCACATTTACCTCAGAAAAACATATTCGGTGACCATAAACTCATTAATCAGATAGAAAAATAAACTGTAGAAAAGGGGCATTTTGCTAAATATATGCACCACATAATATATTCATTATAATTTTTACTGTTCTTCAATGTTTAAATGTTTAAAAAAACGAATTGAAGTAGAAATATTGTCATTGTCAGTTTTATTATAAAGACTTCATTAAGTGTAATTTAAACTGTTGTATAGCCTAAACAAATCAGTCAGTTTTAACCTTCAGTATTATAGTGATGTAGTACCAAAGTGGCTCTCATGTATATTTTACAGCATTAGTTAAGATAATTTTTTTTTCCTTGAGAAAATTTGGCATGTGTACCTGATATATATCCAAAATAATCGATATTGAATCGAATTGAATTGCAAGCTTGTGAATTAGAATCGAATCGAATCGTGAAATTTGTGTCAAAACACTGCCCTACCACTTAAAGTTCAGAAACTCACCACACAAACTTCAAAACATCAATGATAAAACAACCATTTTCTAACTTCCCTTTTAAAAATATTATCAACTTGTATCTATTGAATACACCCAGGTAATTTATACCAAGCAACAGAGCTAGTATATAACAGATTTTTTTTCCATTTCACTCTTAAACCTACAAGGATATATATCATTACTACACGCCCTTGTAGAATGACAGTGAACCTGCAATACAAATACATAATATTCTAACAGATACTTTGGAACTATTTTCTTTAACATCTTAAACACCATCACCAGTTTAAAAAAAATGTTTTTTCTTTTAAAAAACAAATTTTACTATAATGTTCATCTCGCAAATGCATCAGTGGATGTACTTTCAAAATAACCCTACACAACTTATTTTGAGCAGTCTGCAATTTATTTTTTAATTTCTTTGAAATACCGCTATACCAAAAAGCTCCAGCATAATCAAAGTGTGACTGCACTAATGCACCAGCCAACATTTTTAAAGTTTGAGTATCTAAGAAAGCCGCTGATCTTGCTAAAAATGTTATTCAATTACAAATTTTTGAATTCACTAAAGTAGCCATCTTTTCTCCTGTCAAATTACTGTCCAAATACAACCCAAATATTTTACTTCTCATTTAGGTGTAATAATTCGATCACCAACCTTTACCTCTAATCTAAAGCATTTTTTTCAATTTAGCTGCTGAGCCGAATAATACAACTTCAGTTTTCCCCAAATGTAAAGATTGTTTATTATGGCAAAACAATTTGGAGACCCCTTCAATCTCTCTACTTAATTCATTTTCAATATTTTCCTTCCACTCATGAGACACAATTATTGCTGCATCATCTGCATATAATAAAAGCTTATTTAAACAGGCCATTATTAAATCATTAATATATAATAAAAAAGTAAAGGACCTAATACACTCCCTTGTGGAACCCCCTATTGAAATGGCCAAGCAATCCGAAAACACCCCATTTAAATCCAGTGGCGGCTCGTCAGGGGAGGCACAGCTTCCCCATAATTTTGAGGTGAAAATGGGACGACGATTTAATGTTAATAAAATTCACAATTCATTTCAGTTCATGTCTCAGAATGTGTATTTTATGTTTGTAATTTCACAGCTGTAATACCATAGCATGTTAATGAAGTTGGAAAGCGCTGCTTTTCTATCGCGAATGTGCCTAATCTGCTGATGTAATTACAACCGCTAATGATAGAGAAGGGTAGGGGGAGGCCAGGGGAGAGCTGAGCTCTCGTGCCTCCGTTGGTAAAAAAAAAAAATTGCCAATCACCATCGAGTGTTCACTTTCAGTGCTGAGGAGTGTTGAGAAAAGAAACCTTGCAAGGGAGGCTAGCCTGACGAAACTATGACGAAATTTATACCGTGTCTTCGTTAACGAGACGGGACTATAATGTTATTTGAGAACTACCAGACGTTCAAAATACATCCTTTAGGCTACTGTCTTGTCCTTCAAAATGTGTGTCCCTGTCATTGGATTGCAATTGGGTGAGGGGCGTTTGCATATCTAGTCTCAGTATGGCTAGTGGATGGATAGGCTACCAAAATGCGAACTAGCGATCTGAAACAATGGCCTCCGCACCTGAAGGGGTAGGGATAAGTTGACCAGACGTCCCGTTTTTCCCGGGAGTCACAATTTGTTGTCGAATAACTTAAAGTTAGTGAAGGCGGGATAGGCGGAATCTCGCTGATAGAAGTGCTCTCTCTCGCGCACGTTCCACTTTTTCAGTTCTCATATACAGAGTGCAATCAGTGCTCAAATACAGACACAGCAGTCCAAATGTGTATCGTGTAGAGTATTTCATGTAAATACAGTCAGTTATGGATGAAGTGAACGTAAAGGTGGGTGAAAACTGAACATGTGTCAGTATTACATACATGCCTTCCGTCTTAAAGGGACCGCATTCCTAATGAAGTACCTATCCGTGTCATTAATGTTAACCAACAAAAGATGTTTAATAAATGTTAAGTAAACCTACTGTATCTGAAAAATGAGTTTAATTGGTATCTCTTTCATATGTCTTATTGTCTTATTCTGCTTCTTTTTCAAAAAATTATATATATTATTTATGAACAACTATAATTTTTATAAGTTGCTCCCTTTTCACTACTGTTAAAGGGATAGTTCACCCAAAAAAATGAAAATTGCCATAATTTATTCAAGTTTTTCCAAATTCAATCCTTGATTCAAATTTCTCATAAGCTTAATTGATTTGGTCTAAAGAGAGAAGAATTAATGACTATTTTTGTTTGAAGACTACAAATAAAAGAGCTACCAAAATAAATGTTGGTAACTGTAGTTTGACTAAAAGTAATGACTAAAAGTTGACAAAAATGCAATGACTTTGCGTCGACTAAAACTATGAAATACTCAAATGACTAAAATGTTCAGCATTTTCGACTCGAGAAAGACTAAGACTAAATAAAAAATGCCTGTCAAAATTAACACTGCTATAGATATATTTTTAATGTCTGTAAGGCAAAGATAGCCTATACACAGAGTTTCGCGCTCAAGTTCACAGACCGAGACAGCAGAAAGCGCATCCTCTTTGCTTTCATTATTTTACAAAAGCGCGGTATTGTGAGTGCACACAAATAAATGTAGAGTCTTTACAGATTTGAAAGATGTATTACTCTTTTCTGTATGACCAAAAATGACGATATCGATGTACTGTGTTACCATACACTAGCCGTTAATGATCTGTCCGTCACGGACTGCGTGACTTCGCCCGTGTATTTTATTTGATGTTTTACTGTGACTAATAAAATTTTGGTCGACCAAGCCACTTCTTTGCTTTCATTATTTTACAAAAGCGCGGTATTGTGAGTGCACACAAATAAACGTAGAGTCTTTACAGATTTGAAAGATGTATTACTCTTTTCTGTATGACCAAAAATGATGATATCGATGTACTGTTACCATACACTAGCCGTTAACGATCTGTCCGTCACGGATTGCGTGACTTCGCCCGTGTATTTTATTTGATTTTTTTCTGTGACTAATAAAATTTTGGTCGACCACTTCTGGTCGACTAACGATTAGTTGACTATTAGGGGCCAGCCCTATCTGCTATCGTCACTTTATCGGATTCTGTGAAACGCCTTGTGCTTCTCAGTGCTATCTAGAGGCTGTGTTTCGCCACACTAATATGTTGGCGGTTCCCCGCTAACCTTATGTCTAAATAAGGTTTTTGTGAAACACCAAGTGCTTCTCGGGTCTATCCGGTGGCTAGTGTTTTTTCAACACTGATAGATCGATTATTCCCTGCTATTTTCCAGGCAGTTTGTGATACGTTGTGCTTCTCGGTACAATCTGACGGCCAGTTGTCAAGTGTGTATTTTTGTATCTCGTTGCTTTTTCCCTGTTATTGTGGTGGCCATGGCTCACGGTTCTATTGCTACTGGATTCACTATAATATGTAAGCTGTGCCTTATACTCTTCTACCTGATGACGGCCACGATGTTTATCCATCCTGCTTTGGAATACAGCATTTGAGAAAGGCTCTCACGGACCTATGTCTGCACTGTAGCCTTTTACCCATGTCAGAGAGACGGCTCCGTCTTGCCGAATTGGACACCAAGTCCACAGTAAGACTTGGAGCAACAACCTGTCACACGGAATCGAAAACGTGTTGCATCTGCGGCTGCCGGAGCTCCCCTATCTAAGAAGGCAACGTCAAGGAACGAGCAGGTAGATAAAGTTTCTCTTTCTAAGACAGTTGCTGTCCTTTTGTCTGAGATGTCAGAGATAAAACGTCTTCTTCAGACGCTCCAGCCTGTTATTCCTGCTTCACCTGGAACTTTTACACAGGCAGATGTAGAGGGTTCTAAGAGAATGGATGACGAACTTTTCAGTTCATCTTCTCCTCTTCCATCTCACACTGACTTTGACGTGCTCTGTACAAGTGCATCTGACTCGCTTTTTCAGGATAATTTCAATGCGGTGGATGTTGCTGCGCAATCTTCCCTCTAGGAGATCACAGTTTTTTCAGCTGCAGGGGGTTCTAGTAGTGATTTGATTCACTCTGGACTAACTCCATCCTCCGTGGATGATTCCTTAACGGTGCTCCAGATGGCGGTTGCTCGTTTAGGGCTGGATAACTCGCCAGTGCAGCCAGCCCAGTCCAACGTCTTTTTTAGGCAGCCTTCAGCTAGGTCTAACTTCGCTATGCCACCATGCAAGGATTTCGTTGCAGAATTTTCAAACTCCCTAATAGGGTCTAGTACACAAAGACCGCCTGTACACTGGCATCTATAATGGATGCAGATAGCATTGGGGTTGGCCGTGCTCCAGAAATAGAGCAACCTGTCGCTGCCCTTGTGGTGTCACCTGATGAGGCCCTGCGTGGCAATGTGCATTGCCCCAGTACTCGGTGTGGTCGCACAGACTCGTTACTCAAAAAGGCATATGAGTCTACCGCGTATATAACCCGTGCGGAGAACACAATATGTCAATTACTCCTCGCCACAACTAGTACACTTGAATAGGCAAATGGGGACCCCTCGGTTTCCACAATTTCTTCAAACTGCGCTTCTGGCTTTATGGGCCATGTCACCTGTGAACTGGGTAGTCTTACAGCCACGCTTCTGACAGCTCGCCGACAAGTGTGGCTCGCCCAGGCGAAACTGCCAGAGGATTGTAAAAAGACACTACAAGACCTCCCAATTGTTCCTGATCACCTGTTTGGACCCAGTGTCCCAGAGCTTCTGGAGCACCTCAAAAGAGGTGAAAATTGTCTGAGGCCACTCGACAGTTGACTTAAGCTCAGTGCACTCCTGTTTTTAAGGTGCCGGGCATTCAGGCTCGACATCGTTTTGCAACACCAGAGCAACGATTCCGTCAGCATTCTACACCACAGCCTCAGGGGTTACAGAGGCCCGTGCTACTGAGGACACTCAAGGTTTTCGACCTCATCAGCGGCAGTTGCCAGTGGGTCCACGTCAATGTCCCCCACTGCTGTTAAAAGTCGCACCCACAAATGCTATAGCAACTTCTCACACAGCTCGGGGGGTGAACAAAGGCCTCCTGTAGCGAATCGATGCATTTCCCCCCGGAGCCATGTGAGACACTTTTTTTTTTATGGATGGGCGCGTTTTATTTAACTGCTTTTGGACTGATGCATGCAACACCCGCTCAGTGTATCATTAAACAGCTTGAAAGATCAAAGACAGTTTTTTATATAACTCCGACTGGATTCGTCTGAATGAAGAACGTCATATACACCTAGGATGACTTGAGGGTGAGTAATTTATGGGCTAATTTTCATTTTTGGGTGAACTAACCCTTTAACCCAGGCGACTCTACCGTTTCACATGAATCTGAAATGTCGTATGTAATACGCATCTATAAGTACAATATGCTAATAAGAAGTCTTATTTGACAATATTACCAAAAATAATTTATTTATTAGGTTTGGGCAAAGACACACATATGGAGACGCAAAATACATTGTTTTTGAATCGTGTTTGCGTGAGCTGTTTTCCACGTATCCCATTTGCAAATCAAAAACAGTCTGATGTGGAGCTACATCGGATGGGCACTTGTGTTGCATTCAGCCAGCTTTGCCCCAAGTGCATGTACAACAGGAAATGGCAGAGCCAGCCCATAGTTGGAAGTACACCCATCGGAAACCTCCTCTTATCAGCAGCGACTTAATTTACTGGAGGATCATTCATCCAACTACAAAAGTTAGGCCTGTAGTAAATGATAAACTAATGCAATATACAGTAAGTTTATATTTTTCATAACATCAAAATTGTTTATATTCTTTATAAATATACTTTTAATGTTCCACATTCATAGCTTTGCAAGGCCACGGAGTTACACATTTACCAGTATGACACATTCCGGAGACATTGCAGGAATTTCTTGGAGCCAGCAATTGTACTTAAGTGGAAAAGTGAACAGCGAAACCTTATACAGAAGTTACAAGACAGAGGAAAGATTGCTGTAGCTGGAGATATGCGTGCAGCCTCCCCAGGGAAGACACAAGTTTATCATAAGTAAGTAGAGAATTATTTTGTTGATTGATTGTATATTTGTGAAAATTATATCATCACATGTTGAAGCATAGTTACATTCCCATCTTTTTGTTTTTTGTAGGGCATTCAGCCAAATATGGAAGCTACACGCTAATGGACATGCACAGCAATACTATTGTGGACCTCCAGCTTGTTCAGGTGTGTAACCTTAATAGAACATGATTGAGTGAAAAAAGTATATCAGTTATTTGTATAAAAAAATTGATATTATGCTGCATACCTAGAGCAATGAGGTTGGTGGTAGCTACCACATGGAGAAGGAAGGCCTAAAGAGATGTCTGGATCTGCTGGAGTCTAACGGTGTAGAAGTGGATTACATTGTCACCGACCGTCATCCACAGATCCAGAAGTATTTCAGGGAACACAGCATAACCCAGTTCTATAATGTGTGGCACTTCGATGAAGGTTAGTGTGTGACCTGCTAGCCACATAATAATTTACGGAGTGATGTGAGCATTCTATGCATTTCCTTTAACTTATCGATTCATTTGTGTATATCAGGTTTGTCTAAGAAACTGACTAAAAACAAAGAATGTGGTTTGATGAGGAAGGGGCAGCGTAGCATCAGAAATCATGTTTACTGGTGCGCAGAGCCGATCCTCCCTATACGCAAAGTACACAAGCTGCGTAGGGCCCCCAAAACACCAGGGGGCCCCCCTGCTCTCAAAGATGATTTCATTTTAGATTTGTTTTTGAATTTTGCCAGCGGTTATGAAAGCCACTTATGTCATTTCTTTTAATGCGGTGTGCGCTGTCGCCCTTTCTACGTAAAAATCAGTCAAATCATGTAACGTGAATGTCAGACAGTGTCTTACTCGAGACCAAAAAAAACCGAGTTGAAAGCGTACCGAGGAAGAGACACTGATTCTCAAGCGGACAAAGGCGTTTCATTCATTCATAACTCGTCATTCAACTTCGCCCCCAGAAGTTTAGGATCGGCTCTGCTGGTGCGCCACATCAGGACCAGAGAAGGTGGCTAAGTGGACTTCACTGGTCAACCACCTCCAGAATGTGCGCACTCACGACAATCCCATCTTTCCCAAGTGTGAACATCCACTTACAGAATCAAAGGACCCAAATAAATGGTTTCAACGAGGTACTTGTTATAAAAAAAAGTTTGTCTCTGTTACATTTTTTGAGTAAAGTGTTGTCTATTTCATATCACATCCAACAATATTTATTATTGAATAAATTGGTGTTACTTTCTTGAAAAACAAGTTTAACTATTACTGACAATAGTTTCTAATAATGCAGGGTCGCTGGCTATCCACAAAATTGAGAAAGTACTGTGCAACAAGAGGGTGTGGAGAAGCTCAGTCATGATTTTCAGACATCTTCCCTGCAGCCTAATTCTACGTTTTGCACCTAAAAATGTAGTGTTCCCTTTCATGGGAATACAGCTTTACAGAACATTATAAAAACATATTGTAGTGCGGCTGTCATTTACTGAATATTTTGTTCTTGTAGACTATACCTTGCTCTGCTTCATCATAACGAAAACGCAAACAGAGAACAAGCCACAACATCAACAGGAAAGATGGTGTACAAAATGGTGTTCCCGAAATCCAAAAAAGGGGAATGCATAGCACGGGCATTAAAAACAGACCCGACATATAGTAAGTAATAAAACAGATTTATTCAAACAAATAAATAAACAAAATAATATATTATATACTGTATATAACAAGTAATTAGTAATGTCCCTTTTTTTCCCTTACAGATTATGTTGACGAGCTACTGAAGCTCGTCTTTGACGAAGTTATTATGGACCCATCTCCATTTGTGGATGAAATGAAGGCAATCCCCATTCCCACGCCCCTTTGTGCAGAGTATGACAGACCGTCAAAGGAGGAAGCGATTGCCCATCATGTTTCCAGATTCAATCAAGAGGGGGTCGGAAGCTAACGTAATGACCAGCTGGATCTGGAAACTCCAGGCGTATCCAGGTGACAACGCAGGACGGAATGACAACACGGACACTCCGACCTAAGTAGCCCCAGCACCAGCTGACAAAGCAGGAGCTGCCTGAAAATTAAAGACAAACCTTTAAGTCTATGTGACCAAATAAAACATGTACAGAGTTTGAGTTTGTAAATAAAGATGATTTGAGTTGCATATTCATATTTCATCATTTACGTGTTCTAGTTATGCCAATTTGATTATTGGTATGGTTTATCAGACTATACATACTCCTCTGATGTTCTGCCTCTTATACGGCCGTAGTCGCTTCTATAGATGTTGTAGATGTTCCTCAGAGTATATGGATTTAGACAATTTGGTTCAAAGCCTGGATGGTGTACCATGCATGTAGGTGGGACTGGAATCTGGTTCATTCTTCTTGTAACCCAAGGTGAAAAAATGTGAGTCAAAACTATCCAGAACAAGTTGCTATATACATGTGTGTATGTACATAATATATGTAGCCTATATATTTGTGTAAAAAAAATATTACAACTCGTGTTAGGATTGTGCTTTTATTCCATAGCGTTCCATTACATTCTCATACATTACATGTGCTAAGCGTCAAAACCACAAGTATTGCAGAAACAATTCTCTACCTGTCGTACTTCTTTGCAGCAAAAGTTTTCAACCTCGCTTGGCATTTTGATAGAGTTCCCACACGTGCACCTAAATAAATTCACTGTCACGTGCATACGTCAAACTGCCATAAACAATACTGACACTTACCATTGAGAAACGTCCTGATCCAGTCGTGTTTGCGCTTGACTTTCTGGTTCAACAACTCTGGACACTTCCTCGTCGGACTCGGGCTCGAACTGATAAGGCAAAATTTAAGCCATGTTGTCTATTCATAAACTGAAATCTTCAACACTTGATAAACCGTAATCCAGTATTGTTGATAGGTTGTTAAAATCGAAAGTTGCAACTGTGTTATTTAATGAGCTAACATGAACTAAGACTTCTATTTTTTAAACAAAGATTAATAACTTCTGTAGCAAATGTAGCTATTGCTCATTGTGAATGTTAATGCATTAACTAAGGTTAACTAATGAGGTCTTATTGTAAAGTGATACCTATTGGTCTTTATAGTTCTTTTGCACTTTAATCTGTGTAAAACTTTTAACTTTATACATTTTTCTGTATTGCTTTATTGCATTTAAATGTTATTTTTGTTATAAGAAAAAAGTTATTAAACCTGTTATACTGTATTATGACAGCAATTTTTTTAAACTAAATTTCAATATTGTGATAATACCGTATACCGTGATAAAAGCATTAGCAATTAATCGCAACATGAAAATTTGATACCGGCATATCTCTAGTTGTGGACTCCCAAAACAAAAACATGAAGTTTCCTGACCCATAATAGGGGCACTTTAAGAACATTAAGAATGTACAAACTTGTTTTCGTTACAGCTGTGTAATCGCATCGGACGAATCTGCCAGAAAGGCCGTGCTGGGGAGTAGCGACGCTACTAGCTTAACTACATTTTCCAGTAGCTTTACAGTAGCGACGCCACTTTTAAAACAGTGTAGCTTTTCCTGTAGCTAACTACTACATTTCAAGTGAGAGCAAGGTTACATTGTGTTACCTTGCACAAACTAAATTTGTTCATTACCGCCATCTGTTGTGATATCACGCATCGCGCGGCTTTACAGTCTTTCCACCGACAAGAGATCGTCTGATGATATTGCAAAGGATGTACAGGAGTGGATATTTCACATGAATCAACTGTAATTTACGCAAAACAAAGATTAAAATGCGGTCTACGTCGAAGACTTAAAGCACATACAAGAGATGAATAATAGCCTTTTTAAACTGATTAATTTTTTTTCTTTATTGCACTCTAGATCAAATGTATATTTTACAATGATGAACGGTCATAATATAATCTGTCCCCCCAGTTTTGTAATGAACACTAATCGAACAGAAAATAAAATTGCGATATAGTAGTGCGCTTATCATTTGGCAAAGGATGGTTGCAGCGGGATTCATCAGCAGCTGATGATTGACGTCTCCATTCACAGTCAGTAAATACCGCATGAGCTGTGAGTTTAACCTGATTATTTTATGTCTCCTCCGTATGCAGTTTAAGTTGCATATATTTTGTTCTTACATTGGTGTTGCGTTTGTAGCAATATACTAATATAACTAAAATAACTATTTAACTATACAGTATTTTATTATTGTGTGTATCGAATAGTTAACTAAATCAAATCATTGGGACACTTTTTGTCATTGAAATGGCTTGGAAAAGTGTCCCAATCCACCTGAATTCATCCTACTCTTTGAAATCATGATTGCATTACGATATGTTGTTTTAAACCCCAAATCTTTTACTTATAACTTCATTATATTTTACTTATAACTTCATTATAATTCTCCATTAATAATTATCTAGTTATTTGTAATGTTAATTGTACAAAAAAAAAAGAATAAAAAAAATTGAAAGTAGTTTCAATGTAGCTAGCTACTTTTTGACAGTAACTTGTAGTGTAGCTAGCTACTTTTTCAGAAGGGTAGCTTGAATGTAGCCTAACTACTTTAATTTACGAGTAGATTGTGTC